CACTGGGTTTAAAAAGAAAAAAAACTTTATGTCGATTATGTATAAAAAGTGGTATTCGAGTAAAACCGGTATGATATTGTAGACGTAAACCTTATTATATTTGTAGAAAATATACTGAAAAGATAGTAACTAAATAGGTCAGATGTTAAGGTATCAGACGAATCAATAAAAACCAATTAGGAACAACAGTTATTGAAGACCTAAGGTTTTATTCCCTTAATTGATTCTATCAGCAGTTTTACATCGTATCCATTTCTAGAGGTATTATTTTTGTTTCATACTCTGTAATGCAAGTCGGATCCGTTTGCATTTTTTAGTTCTACAAATGTACTGTATACAGCGCAAATTGATTTACAAACGAAATAGCAAAAGCCAAAAATGTTTTTATTTGATTAGTCAAATTAGTTTTCTTTTTAGTACCTACCAGTGGTTGTTGATGAGAACTGAGTAATTTTCTAGTATGATTCGCGAGTTGACAATACTTTTTTTTAGGTTTTTCTTATATGTTCTAATGAACCTGTGACCGGCATATGGAATATGTTCGTAAAGCCTTACTACAATATTAAACTATATCACAAACAAGTGATAGACGAACAGAAGTAGTACTTATTCAGAACATTTTCTGAATAGGTGCATGGAATACGGTTTTAAAAGTCAGACTCTGATTGTATTCGACAGACACAAAGATATCAATGCGCAGTACAAATACCACATCTTTGCCTTTGTCGCAGCTGTTCCATTCATCATGTTTTACATGAAATATAAGGAAAATAAATATCAATGTAGCCAGGGTATTTGTTACCAATGTTGTTGCTCAAGTCACTTCCGTGGCAGCGTTTGTAAACTTTTTATTTATGAGGCAAGTCTTGAAAAAACTCGATTCATTTAACTTTTAGGATAATGGTGTAATACGGTTACTTTTGATCGGTTACATTATTTGGCTGTAGGACAGACAGATGTTTTTATTATTTACCTATTTTTGTAACAGTATTTTCGTTGGTCAAACGACACTTGACTTTTTTAGATTCTTATATGCAAAAGAAGAAAAAGAATGTCTGCGTATTAGTCGGGGTCAATTACACGACATTTGAAGCGGACCCAGTGTACCTACGATATACCTATTCTATTACCTAATTCTTTGAGCAATGCAAGAAACTGTTTTCATATTAGTTTCTATGTAAACACGTCGATGGATCGTAATTCGGTCATAACCACGAGCAGTATGTTTATATTTACTTTATAGTAAACGTTATTACCCAGCTATGGTTAGTACCGAATGTTTATGAGCTGTTGGGACAAGATCCTGAGTGATTTGTAGCACTACTCAGCATTCCTTTCACATCACAAGCATGATGGCTATTCACGCTATTCCATGTTTTCTCAAGAATTTCTTCAGTAAATTCTTTTTGGTTCAACGATGTCTTAAAATAGTATAGCGCGCTTCCGTACGGTTGTATTTGCTCAATTCATAAACAATGGCGCGATTAACCTAGATATTCTGTATCTCGGGAAACACATTAGGTTTCTTTTTTTCAACGGGCAATAATTAAGTGGAACAGTATATTATAGTAACAAGTGATATTTATAGTCACCGCCCGCCCAAGAGTCCATTTGCCGCCCACCGGGCCGCAAGGGTGTCGACCCGCGTTTTGCACACTGGGTTTGTTATATTTTGTTGTGGAAAAAAGAGCTTCTCTTTATTTGTACTTATAATTTACATTGTATACCTCCTTTGTGGTATTTGTTGTCATGACTTACCTAAAGGAAGCAGGAAAATTGGAAAGCATCTTTTACAAATATTAAACGTAATATTTTGTAACATTGGTCTTTTAAGTAAACAGGTTTTTTACGAGAATATAATTTTGGAATGTATACATGTTTTTCCTATAAAATATTCTTTAGAATTAGAATTAATGAACATCATAAGAAAAGGCCAATTTCGTCTATATAAATAGTAATTTAGGTGCAATTTTGCATGAATATTAAAGTAATAAAGTAACACTATCTAGCCAATTTATCGTTTAAATAAATATTGTTCACACAAAATTTTTGTAGTGTAGAGAAAAATACAGCAATAAATATTATTTTGTTCAGATAGCGCGTGTTTCGCTCCACTAATGACCCAAAGCGTTTACATAGTGATGTGACGAATTTTTAGCAGCAGTTTGTTACATTCAGTCGTTACGTTAATAGTTGCCAGCTTTTGATTGTGAGTTTTTTAAATATATATTGTGATATGTGATTGTGTGATACAGTGAAATATCCAGTGATATACGAAAAAAGTCCTTTGTGTTGTTAAAAATCGACGTTGCTGTTTTGTGATTTTCTGAAAATAAGTTTCAGTCTAATAGGTATGTGTCATAGCATAACAGACAGGGCTAATCGATTGTATCTTAAAGAATAAAAGAAGGATAAAAGTTGTGTCGTCTACGCTCCCCGGACGGTACCGCGGCAGGCAGTCACTCGCTGTCAACTTCAGGCTAAGTTGCCATTAAGTTTCATTTTTTTCTTTTTTACACACGCCGGCCGCAACTCAGACTTCCAGTGAACCGTTTATTAAGTTGCAGTAGACGAGCTTGTTTAAAGAATAACGGGTTGAACTCACTGAAGCTTTTCAAAATACAACTGCCTGGATAAAATTAAATAAAAGAAAGAGCAGGAGTACCATGACATGACGTGAGAATTTCCTCTTTCTCCGCTAATAAATATTCGAGACTCTTTCGGTAGTAAAGTTATCTAGTTTTTATCTCATACACGCATTCGTTAATTTCTGTTTATTAGTATTATAGCTATAAACTAGTAGCGCAGCTATAAATACGATCCCATAACTTCTCTCGGGAGTGCTAAAGGCAACAAAGGGATTATATCAGATAAATGGGCCAGTGATGGGCGCCAACATTCAATTCCGTATAACAATCTACTGCTACTATTATCAAACGACAAACTAACCGCTCTGGTAGGTAAAATATAATAATTAATGTAGTGACTTTATTTTTTGAGTGTTGTTCTATTATTAAATTAGAAATTGCGAATTTAGTCATAGTTCGTAACTGTAAATCTAAACTAGTTATTACGAGAATGAGTTAAGATATCAATGTTTCCATCGTACTAGGTATGTAGTAAAAGCTTTTTTCCATATGTCGTACGTAATGTACTTACATCAAATTGGTTTAGATATCAAATAAATTTCGTTACTGTATCTAATAGCCGCTCCCAAATGCAGAACCGTCAAATATAATGAAACAATATTATTTCGGATTTACTTGAGTTACCAATTGTAGAAACTCAATTACTGATTCTAAAAGGATTTGGTCGTCCTTATGACTGACTTTTGTAAAATTTGGACGCTTCACCACGAGACGAAGTTCATCACGTTTTACTCGCAGACTTTCTTTTATTTGATAAAATTGTGGCGAATTTCGAATGCTTCAGTTGTACGTACTCTCGGGAATTATGCAATGTCAGTATTCTCAAATCGTTTGAGAGATGTTTGCTCCACTGAGCCCGTGTCACCATCAGGACGACATTCGGCGCGGAGCTTCGTCTAACAATTTATTGAATCTCGGCTCTCTTGTCATTCAGTTTTGTGCTTTTCCTGTCATCCTTTCTTTATCATGCAATATTATTTTAGATAAAATTCCTTCTTTACTTTATGGTACAATCTGTAATATGATCACATTTTTTTGTGTAATTATAAGACTGTAAAAACGTTGATATTATTTCACGCAAAGATCGTGTTTCAATTTTATTATTAGACATTTCATGATGCCTAGCGTACATGATATAGTATGAGATAATAATATGATACGCGTTTTCTATCTGATTTGTGGCCAATTAGTCTTGTTCGCATGATTGCATTTCATTGAAACGCAATTTTTTATTCGTGTGAGGCATGAAGTATCATTAGCTAAGAAACTCTGAGAGAACAGCCATAAATGCAAAGCATTATTAGGATACCTACATCAAATTAAACGATCCTTTTCGAGTTAAAAGGGTGAGAGCATTTGAACAACATCCTAGTCTACATTGAGTATTCTACAAAATCGTGTTTCCTACAGCAGAATTTGAATTGGAAACTATTTTGTAATGTGCATAATTCTTGATGAATCACTTTGAAGTTTGAGATGTTTATGTTAGTAGCAACAATTGCTTCATGCACGCAAAGTTTTCAACAGTGTGTCTATTTTTAGGGCTTTGGTACACGTGCTCGCCCTCTGAAACAGTAAAATGGATCTTTTGTCGGATATTCTCAACGGAACAGCTGTCGAGCTATTTCCGACATGAGGGGAGTTATCTTATTTTCAAAATGAATTTAGTTGGATGTTGATAACATTTAATATGTTACAGTAAATAGTGATTGTGAATAATTTTTGTTGTGTATAACGTATTTATTGTATCTGCTCAGTAAAGTGTAATGTTAAGTGTTGAGTGTAAGTAGTTAAATGTTGAAGAAACTTGAAAATAACTTTGGATAACAAAATCTAAAAATCCTACGTAATATTTGTTTGTTATCCTATTTCAAATAATACCTATTTATGATACAAAATTATTTTGATTACGTTATTGATAAATGTTTGTATTACTCCAAATTTCCAATATCTTTTAAAGTGCATAATAATATTGGTTTGTATCACAAAAGAAAATGATGTAAATTAGGTATATCTAAAGTAGCTGTTTGTAATACAGAGCACATAGAGGAGCCAATATGAATTGTTTGGGTTCGTGTAAGGGCCGCTATGAATTTAATCTGGCAGAAACAAGCGCCCCGCCCTACTACCCGCCACAATTACCTTATAACCCCGATTTTGTCGATGAAAATGGTGAATACGATGCTTCAACTGGTTTTGATCCTAGCATCATGTGGAGAGATTACTATGGAGAGTATTACGCTGGAAATAATTTCGAAAACTATGACGAGTGGGGGCGAGCGCGCCACTCCTTGTACGAAGGCGTTAACTGTATGCCGGTGAGTGCACTAGCTTGTGTGCATCGAGTCGCACGTTGCCTACAATTATTACCTACGCCTTGTTGTGGTGTGTTGTGTGTACATAAACAAATAAACAATATGCTGTATATTTCAACATTTCGTGTTAAAATTAACAGATAATGCGTTTGTTACTGACATGTGATACAAAATGGGTTTGTTAACATATAAACCTTAATTTTTGTTAAACAATAAAAGTCGGATCAAAGCGAGAAGGGTGTTCAGAATGCATCAGGCGCATATACAGCGATCTATTTCCGGGCGCGGGCGTCGGCCCTATTCGTGTAAGCCTCGTTCATTTTGAACTAAAACATGCGCGAGCTCGGCCGCGGGGGCTCACTCGTGGCTGCCACCATCGCGGTATTACACAATCGTACCGTAGTCGAGGAAAAACCTCGATTGGTCAAATCACGATCGACCTCCGCGGAGATAAGAAATGTTGCGCGCTCCATAAGAGAAGAAAATTTTGGTGAAATTCGCTCGCGAAGAGTATCCGGCGGCAGCGAACGTCCACTGTCTACAGCGTCTGAAGCCTCTGAACGTGACTCGGCTTCTGTGCAGTCCAGTGAGGAACCGCCCCCACAGGATAGTACGTAACTCGCGATCTGCGGACGAGTCACTGACGTAGCATATTACTGGAACTTAGCCAAACTTTAAAATAGAGACACGTAGGTGACTCGTGCCGAGAGCTTGTCGCGCAGTGTCGCATTTGCGGAGCCTCATGTCCGACTGCGAATATCTAACGGAGCCCTTCGATGAGGAGCAGGAGCGCGCGGCGGCCGGCTACGTACACCCCGCCGTGCGCTCCTACATGTACTCCCCGATGGGTGAGTTCAAGTCGCTCATGAGGCTCCAGCGCGTTTTATATACTTTTTATCGCTTATCTCGTGGCAGGCGGTGATTCAGACAGTCCTGATGAAGCAACAGTGAAATGTACTACCTGGACAGAAGGCGCTGTAGCCGCAGCGCGAACTGGATCATCTGACACAGAATCCAGCTCCTCCAGCGCAGATGACTCTGATGAACAAGAGTATGAAACTGGAGGCTGTGATGCGGAGTACCGGACCCTGACGCCTAGTAGGCGGCTAGATAATTCTACTAGACGTGATGATGATTTTACTTGGATGCCAACCGGAAATATGGTGGACGAAGGAGATGAACGTGTCTCGGAATCTAGAGTTGATGATTATTCAGCAGCGAGTTTGGAAAGACGTCGACGTACACCGGGCGATCGGCAAGATCGTGACCGCAAGTCAAGGTCGTCGTTAACATCGAAACCGCCTCAACACCCAACAAGTGTACGTGCATCACCTCGGCCACGACGTTCTCGTAATGAGGAAACACCTCCAGAATTGCAAAGGCGATGGAATTCCTACGAGCACTTCCGGTGGCCAGAGGGAGGGTGGTGGCCTCCAATGTGTTGGTGTCACGGACCTCCAGTGCCACCGCCATGTTATATGCACGACAGAGCTTGGCCGTCTAATCCCTCATTACCGCCAATGCCCACACGAAGTTATAAGGTACGGGAAGTGAGAGTAGACAAAACTTTAATTCAGACAATTGAAGAATTGAGCTAGGAAATTATTTACAGCACACGTCCCTCCCCAATTTGCAACCTACTCGTTTATGACAGTAAATTGAGAGTTTGTAGTAAAGGCTAGGCATTTAGGTGCGAGATGATGTTTAATACTAATTTAGTATTAGTATTTGCCCCATGTAAATAATTAATAATTGAATGTGAATTTACTATACCTAATGATTTAACAATTAATAACAGTTACCATGTTTGTGTTGTTATAAATGCAAACTCTGTAAAAATATGATCAGAATCATGAACAGAGCTGCAAGTTTAATCATTTGCACGGATAGCGGCATTCTTGTGTGTTGTGCGTATTATTTATAGGTTGTGTTGTAGTGAACTATATTAGTGTAACGAACATTACAGAACGATGCGGAGGATCGCGTTCGCCGGCTCGAGGCAGACAAAGAAAGTTTGCATCTTCAGGTGCAAGTGTTATCAGAACAAATTGCCGCGCAGACCGAGAAGATGACTGACCTCGAACGCGCGCTGCAGGATGCAAGGCAGAGGCTGGACGACGCTGAACAAAGATTGCAAAAGGTAAAAAAAACTTTTTATTTCCAGCTTAAACAAAAAGCGCGCTTGTAGCTTCCAGCCGCATTCTAGGGCATGTTGAAAATACTAGGTTAACAACAAAATAACATAACGTTGAAATTGGGATCGTACTCGGCCTCGTGCAGAATTCCATTTAAAAACGCGTGAAAATTTAACTGGGACAAGATTTAACGCTAGCGTATCTACATTTATTTTGTTTTCGTTCTTGTATACGTACGAATAAACAGTTGATAGTATTTTATTTTCAGATACCTATACAATGTTTTCAAAATAATTTTAATTTGCAATGGTAAACAAAACAAGTGTCTCAATATTTAAGTTGGAAACTAGGCGCTAGAGAGACTGAGGTCACGCTAGTTCTAAACAGACTTGCTTGTTTTACAACTCCGCTGTACGCTTGTCTTGCCACTTTACAAGTTTCGCGATTGTCGTCCTTTATTTACTGGGAAAGTTTGCAATCTCATTTACTTCCTTAACATTATATAGGCCTACAATTTATTAATTTAAGTTAGTGAAACACGGAGTAAATATGTCCAATTAATTTGTTGAGGGAACAGTGAGACAGTGTTAGCTCGTTTGGATTTGCAGTTGACTTAATAAATATGATAGCAAGACGGTAAACTGTTTAACATTCAGCACGGCCTAGATCCCCGTGGAACGGGGGCTATTGAATAATCATGATCGGTGTGGGCCGCACAATTTCTAGCGCGCCTTAGGCGGGGCCCAATCTCTTTATCGCATTTAACTTCGCGTACCCGTCACACGACATTTTACCAAATAAATATTAAGTTATTAGGAAATAAAAAAATCTAATCTAAAAGCCTATCATATTTTATTTATTTTTATATTATTTTAAGGTATTTTGCAAAAGGTCAACCAACAAATCAATATCAAATAATATAGTCGTAATTCGAAATAGGTTTGCACACTTTGCACAGGTATAATGTTTTTACTGAATAGATAGATATGCCTTCATACATACAATAGGGAATTGTAATCCTAGGATTACCTTCGTGTCATCAAAGCGCGGCTTTGCTCGAACCCGGTCGCCTTCAATTAGTTTAATGAATGTAATCCGTTTTCATTGTTTCATCTCCAAGTCAAAAGTAATATTTGCATTTCAAGGTGAGGGAACGCTAAAAGCGTGAATTTTTTTGGTAAGTACTGTGGACATTATCACATTTCTGTTTATTTTTAAATTCCGTGAGCTGCTAGTCTGACTTTTAATCTCTATATTGAAAAGGGTAGACATTACTTAAGGTTTAGATATCGATATTTTCAGTAGTACCATAAATTTGCTTGGTCACGTAGGATATACGATTAATAACAAAACTTACGAAAAGCCGGTGTACGTTGGGCTATTTATTGTACTATAAATTCCTTTTTAGTCTTCGAGGAATAAAAATCCTGAAAATATAATGTTTTATCTTAAAATAATAAGCAATTAGACAACAGACATCTGGTAAAACTCATGTTGGATTTTATCGACAATAGATTTATGTTACTACCGATAATCGTAACGCTGCCTGGCACAATGGAAATGTATTATGAAATGTGTACCTACTTGTATAGAAAATACAAGATAACGTAATACTACAGATGACGCGTGTTTTACTATGCGAATTAGATGATCGAATCACTAACGTTGCGTGTCTTGTAGGATGCAAAGGGCATTGACTAAAATTGGTGCCTTTCTTTTTTCTGGCGGCAGTCGATGATTTATGAAAAATATTATCTAAAATGACATTACAAACGAAATTGTGTATGGGCTCATATATGGAAATCTCAGTCTGGACTGAGTTATGAGCGTCGAAAAGAGCTGAAGTCAAACATTTTACTTTGGTTTTTTTATTCAAATTATTCATATTTTTGTCACAATTCCTAACTTCAAATTGCGCGCCACTGTACGCCGGGCACAGGAACACCATATTACACCACAATATATCCATATTGCTAGGCACTAATTTTTATTTGCTATTTTCTCTCAGTCGATAATTTGTGGGATGCTTCTAGGAGTTGTGTCATGAAGCTCCATGAGCGTCAGCTGAGGTACCAGTGGTGGGTTGAGTAGTGGTAGCCGTCCAAAAATCTAAAAGTTTTTTTTTGCCTTTGACTCCTGGTGGTAGACTCATCTACTTTATAGTTAGCATAATATTTTCAAGAAAGGAAACCGTCGACTTTGTAAAGTGATGGACTATACGTCAGATGAGCGCATAATTTTTTCATATAATGTGATCAGTCGAAATATAATCCATCACTTGGTGACTGAATGACGATATCTTTGTACAGAATCTTATGCTAGATATAGATTATTAACTGTATTATAAGTATTAAGTGTAGTTAGATTAGTTACTAATCGGAAGTAAGTCGGGAGAAGTAGACAGAAAAATGATTTTTTCGTGTATCCGCTACCGACGCCTCAGTTGACGAACATAGCATTTTATGATAAGGCTCAGTAAAGTATTTTGCGGGTTTTCGACTGAGAGGAAATTGGTCATGAAAATCTGTCATAGGCCTTAAACCGTATACATATGAAGTGAATACGCTAGCCAATTAAGCGAAATGTTTTTTTTTTATTTCAGCAGTGGCCAGTTAATGGTTCACTTTGTTCTGATTCCTTGGCCTAATAACAAAAAAAAATAAATAAAAAAAAAATAAGCCCATAACAAGCTTTACTATATTCCTTGAAATCGTTTATGAACATTAATTACAAAATATTTCTGAAAAGTAAATGAAGAAATATGTGTTGTGTACGGTCACCATCAACAAAATAACAGGAATAATATACCACTATTTTCACATCTTTGAACTGACTTAACTCGGTTCGGACTGTGTTTTTGATATAAGACCCCATACATTTTTTTGTTTGTAATGTTATTCTGCATCAGTTTATCCACATTTGATCAACTGCCGCGAAAAAATTTAAAGGCACCACGCTCCATACAAATTTGGTCATTGTCATTACGGGTTGCGACGTCGAATCACGTGAGCGTGCGAGAATGTTCATTGTCTCGCAGAATTATGACGAGATTTATGTCTCCTGTCATCTTGTTCCATCATACGCTTACATCAAAATGCAAAAGTAACAAAGCCCCCACATTACCGAGCTAACTTTAAACTTTTGGCAACATGACCCTCCTGTTTTGGTTGTACATACATATTATGTTACAAGGAAAAGTTTTGCCAACGATTTATATTTTCATTGATAAATATTCATTTAAAGATATTTCCTGCCTCATATTTGTGTTACCAAAACATTTCATTGACCGTTTGCAAATTTGTTTCAGTGATTGACACATAGGAAATTAAATTAATTTTAATGGAACACTCAGTTGATGTTTAAAAGAATCGATGCGTCACATCCAGGCCTGGATATCGATAAAATAGTCAGTGTACAGAAAATAATGATGGCCTCACCTACACACATGGCCACGCGCGAGTGCCAACGGATCAATCAACGTGATAGATTAGGAACAGTTCAACACACAAGTTGTTTGTAAAATCGTTCAAAACAAATTTTTGTTATTCAATAAACGTTATCGATACATTTCAAACTAATATGTATTCAATCTATTTTATTCAATAACAAAACACTATTTTGCCTTTAGAGATGCTAAGATAGAATTAGGTATTTCTTTTAGTATTAATAAGTATTTAAAACACGAAGATTCGTTGGTTTTACGATTGTAAATAAAACTGTAGTAAAATATTTGAGTCGGTTTTGAACATTATTCTCTAGCTATTAGATATTAATTTAACCCAACGGATGAATAATAATGTTGGCACCAATATAGTATTGCTGTTTCATAAATCTTGTATTACCTAGTTTCATTACAAAAATACCTGGGTAATACAGCAATCACCACGTTAGCTACTAAATAAAATAAAGATAAACAGTTCGTTTAATCGTTCTAATTCTGTAGTCCATTTACGTCCCGGGCAATGTGTGGCGCGTACCGTACAAACTACGCCAGATGTGCCTTTTTATTAACAACCAACAAACGAGTGGAGACAGCGCTGTACTATAAAATTCCTATCGGATTGAACTTTAATTTCGAGGAGGTCAATGCTGTTTAGACGTTTCGATTTAGAGATCCTATTAGAGACGCAGTTGGTCTAGACAGCTGTTCTCCAGTTTTCTTTATTTCAAATGGAAGTTGGAATGTATGGTATGGGTCGTTAAGCACTGCGATGGTATAGACTGTATGAATTTCTTTGTTCATTGCTTACTGCATTTTAAGATATCTAGAATATTCTGAAAAGGGTACCTAATAATTTAGAGTTGCTACACTACTTTGAGTCATTGAAATGAAAATAGTTTGAAAAGTGTTATTGGATTCATCACCGAAATGCGAAGAAATTCGGAATATGTAAATGCCTGGTTCACCAACCTAGCTCTGAATTCCCATAAAAGGAACAAATAACTGCACCTATTAAATACTTGCAGCCATTTGCATTAATGGAAACGGTTAACCGAAGTATGTCATAGCCAGAGAATAAAACTCGCTTAACAAATGGCGTAAACTTTTACAGGAAATGCTGCAACGTTCGTCTCTCGAGACGCAGAAGTTGGAGTTGTTGTCGAAACTAAGTGAAGTGAGGCTGCGTGCGGCTGAGCGCGGCATTCTAGAACGTTCGCCGCCGCCGCCTGAGCCGGTGGCCGCACTGCCCATCGCTAGACCCGCGCCCCCTAGAGTATGTTACTTTATAGCTTTTTTATGACTCAAAACTGTGCCAGTTTAAAATGTATGAAGTTTATTACATGTGCAGGCAACAACTGTTCACAATAAATTCCGTTTTTTTTACCATTAAACAGCTTTGGCAGCTAAGTTGTGTGAAGAATCGAGTTTCGTCCTAAGTCAATTAAAGTCACTTCAAATAATAGTGGAGAATGAAAGTTTAGTGTAACCATACTTCAAGTAAACATCTTGATTTCAATGCAAAAAATCTCCATTATTGTCTATCATCTCATGTGAAGTAGTATTAACACAATATTTATTAATTTTCCAGACGCCACCAGCAAACTACGGTCGTACGATCGAGCGCAACACGCACATGTATTCATCGTTGCCGCGCTCTTCTGTGGTGACGTCAGAGGCGCGCGTGGCCTTCGGTAAACAGAACAACATGGTGGTGGCGCGCGGCCGAGGACACTCTGTGCCCAACCTAGGTCTCTACGACCCACGCGGTCACTTTGACCCGCATGGACCCAGCTTAAACGCTCTAATACAACCCTTTTTATCTTCAAAATGTCCAAAATCCGCCAGTTTTTGCATCAAAATTCCAGATTTCCATAATAATTTTCGGAACAAGAAAGTCACTGACTGATTCAAAACTGACTATCATATATTCCACCGAAGAATAAATATAGTCTCTGTATTATACATTTCTTTTCTGGAAGTTCTGGATTAATTTTAAAAACTACGATGAAATTATGCTTTTCCAGTTACGTCCCGCTTATGTCTATGTCGTAATGTGGTTGTTGTAAATAGAAAATGTTTTAGACGCATGTTGCAATATTCCAAACAGACCTAGGAATGTGTCATAAATCCAGTGTCCTTGTGATCGTTTGTAAAATGCATGAAGCTATTGGTGTTTGTATTTATTATGGAGCTATCTAATTACTGCTAGCTAAAATGAAAGTGTTAACTGCCTGTTCAAAAGAGTTTATAGAATATTTTATTATCTACTGCCTCGTTGGCCGAGTGGTCGCAAGTGCGACTGCCGGGCAAAGGGTCTCGGGTTCGATTCCCGGGTCGGGCAAAGTTTACTGGGTTTTTAAAAAAAAATCTCAGTCGTAGCACGAAGTCTGGAATTGTGCTCGGCATATGACAATAGGCTCACCCGCTATTACATGTGACTCACAACATAAATAGTGAAAAGTGGTTGTTACATTGTACAGTGGCATAATGTGCACCTGCCTACCCCTTTGGGGGTAAAAGGCGTGATGTTATGTTATGTTTATTATCTAATTTGGGGATTTTTATGTATTTTGTTCGGTTTGGTACATTCCATACGTATTCCGTATGACATCAAAAATTGGTTAAAAAGTTTCATAAAATATTGTTTGCATGTGTCGTCGAAGATAAAAAACTTTGAAGCCATGAAACCAGCATTTTTAAGGCTAGTAATAAAATTATGCAGCTGTGATAGCTAGACGAAGTAATAGTTTGGCCTTACTATTTCGATATATGAGCGTTTTATACGATTTATTTATTATTTGGTCAGTTTTAAACGTAGCTCGATACTAGTCGGGCATCACCGTAAACGTATAATTACAATATTATTTAACCCAGTCATAAGTTATAAGCATGTTTTATAAATAAATGGCATAATGTTGATATTTTAATCTGTATTTAATGTGACAGCGGAGAAGGAGGAATCGACTGGTCGTAGTGGCAGCCCTGCCGGCGCGGCGGCATTGCGCGCTCGTCTAGAAGGCGGGGACGCGCGATCTTTGCGACCTGCAAGACCTTCTACGCCACGAATGCGCACGCATCCCATGCCCTGGTATGTACTTTATATCTGTATTATTAACTGAGTAATGGCTAATGTAATATATTGAAACATTATAATTTTTCGGTATTGCTCGACTAGTTTCGAGCCACATCGGGACCCTAAATCTTAAGTAGCCAACGCGACCACATATAAAAACTAATTTATAAAGGATTCGGTGTAACCCAGTGGCTTTTAGAACGTGTTACGATAGTATTAATGATAGTAAAAACGAAATTTGTTATCGCATGGGGTACCTTGAACCTTCGAACACCAAAAATACTAAAAAAATATCTCAACTTTCAGGGAAACGATAAATGTTCGCGAGTGGGACTGTGAGACTACCTGTGGTTGGCTTGAAAGCCTCGGTTTGGAGGTATATGTACCAGCTGCACGGACTTGGTTGGGAGCGACGCCGGACGCGCGAGGACAACTGGCGGCCGCCTCGCATAATGCTATTGAAAAGGAACTCGCCATCAAACATCCTTTGCATAAGAAGAAGATACTGCTCGGCCTTACTGATTTACTGGTAAATGTTAATAACCATAATCTTACTATCTTACTAGTAATTAATATCTTAGTAGGAACTAATAACTGATGTGTCGTGGTGGCCCGGAGGTTTAAGAGACCCGCTTCTCATGCATAAGGGTGCGGGTTTGAAACCTACCAACGGCAAGTACTAACTGAGCTGTATGTACTTTCTAAGATTATTTAGACTGACAAACGGTGAAGGAAAACATCGTGAGGAAACCTGGGCTTATAATTTCTAATTATAAGTCTGTAATCGCCAACCCGCATTGAGCAAGCGTGGTGTAATCACCACGCTTGCACCAGCATTAATATGCTCAAACCTTCTCCGTGTGAGAAGAGGCTTTGCTCAGCAGTGGGCATTTATAGGCATATTGTTGATGATGAACTAATATTATACACAGAAATATTGTTTAGGTACCGTGAGTAAAAATTGTAACCCTATGTGTCAGACTGTAATGTGTATGTTTCCAAAACTGTTTAGATTGCACGGTTGTTTGCAACGTGCAGTGACTTGAATCCCGTACGGAACAACTCTTTGTGTGATCCACAAATTGTGGGTTTGGGCTTTGATCATGTGTATGTGAAGTTGTATATTTGTAAACGCATTCACGAAACAGAAGAATCCTACAGTGAGGTAAAGTTCTTAAAAAAGACACAACATAACATCACGCCTTTTATCTCCGAAGGGGTAGAAAGAGGTGCACATTAAGGCAGTTAATGCCACTGTACAATGTACCCACTTTTCACTATTTATGTTATAAATGAGTTCAATGTAGTAGGGGGTGAGCCTATTGCCATGTAGGTACTGGGCATATTTCCAGGCTCCGTGATACTACTGAGATTATTTAAAAAAAACCCAGTAATTTTTTTGCTTGATCCGGAAATCAAACCCGGAAACTCTTGCTCGGAAGTAGCACTTCCGACTACTCAGCCAATGAGGCAGTCAAGAAGAAAAAAATGACATTCATAAACTTCTATTGTGTTCTGGTTGCAGGGCGGTCACGGCGACCCGCTGCTGTCGCTGGCGGGGCGCCTGGACACGGCGTGGACGCTGCGCTGGCTGGAGGACGTGGGCGCGTGCGGCGCGCGCGCGGCGGCGGCCGACGCGGCGCTGGACGCGCGCCTGCTGCACCGCCTCACGCACGCAGACCTGCACGCGCACCTCCGCGTCGCGCACGCGCTGCACGCGCTCTCCGTGCGCAGGGGTACTGCTCCCAATACTATCTTTTTTAAGGGGGGAATAATCATCGAATTACTGCTCCCGCCTGGATGAGGCGGGAAGGAGTGTCAGACGCTTACTGACTAAAAACCACCCCGTTCTTACTCCTGCACACCCGTTAGGTTCTCCGCGACGCTTTTATTTCTATCCTGGTCCATACACTTTCGAATTGTTTCGTCGTGTGAGATTACCGGAGGCCCAATTACCCCCCTCCCTAGTCTCCCGAATTTGCTCAACAGTAGGCTTATAGGCTATTGATGTGATGATATAAAACCTAAGCCCCCAAATTAGCAGTTGACCGCGCGGCTAGCCGCTCCATGCGGTTGGACCCTTTTCTAATTTAAAATGTAACAGCAATACAATACCGCTATGGCAAGCGCAAAAGGCGATACGAACCGCCTAAGCAGTCAACTGTTAGTTAATGGAGCTGAGTTCCCTTTATCAGGTATCCAAATATCTTAATTTCCATTTTCAGGTATCCAAGTCCTCCGCGACAACAAGTTCGACCCGGACACGATGATCCGGCGCGCGGCGGAGGGCGAGACGGTGGGCGCGGAGGGCTCGCCCGAGGCCTGCGTGCCGCCCGAACTACTCGCGCGCTGGTCCTCGCACCGCGTCATGCAGTGGCTCAAGGAGATCGACCTCGCTGAGTACGCGCCCAACTTACGTGGCGCAGGTAAGCAACAACAATAACTAGGATCTTGTTTATTGTAATCTGTCAAATCTGGTAACCGTCTACGCGTTGGTAAACTAATAAAGACTGACTGCACGGTTGGTGCGGTGGCTGGGCAACCGGCTGCTGTGCAATGTGTCGCGGGTTCGATTCCCACACGGAACAACCTAATGTGGGGCTAAGTATTAAAAAAAAAGTTATTATGAACTATTGTTTACGTAACTGTTTGGCGAGGTATCTCGACTAGTTTCAAGCCACACTAGGGTCTTATAAAATATTCGTGAGCGACGCTCCCTGCGATGTGTATCCTCTTCCGCAATACTGTGCGTTTAATAGATGTTTTTTCCTGTGTAAGGTGTTCATGGAGGCCTCATGTTATTGGAGCCGCGGTTTACAGCAGAACTTCTGGCTGCTTTACTAAACATTCCAGCCAACAAAACGCTACTGCGGCGGCATCTGACGCAGAGGTAAGCTATTCTATTGAATACCTAATTCTTATCATCTTTCAATGGATTTGTTAACAAAAGTAGACATAAAGAACTCAGTCTGTTAGGTCAGCTAAACAGTTTTAAATAAATGTGTATGCACCTTATCTTTCCAGATTCAACGACCTGCTAGGCCGAGATGTAATACAGCAAAAGCGTAACGCGGAACAAACGCTCGGATATCAACCTCTTACTGCAACTACCAAATACAAGGTAAAATATAAACACTTTTAACATTATATTTTCAACCTTCCCTACTCTAAAAATAGTACCATAGTTCAGGGATATGTAGCAGTGCCAAGAGTAATGACACACTTACAGAAGAACTCTATTGAACTTGAAATACAGGGTCTTTCTAAAAAAGTTGTAATTATTTAAAGCCGTGTGGTCACGTAATCATAAAAAATAACGAGTATCTCGAAAACTATAAAAATGGAACCCTGCAACCAGCTAGTGGCGGCTTGACACCTTACAAGAAACATCCTGTATTTTGTTTACACAATCTGCGGTCATTAGTCGTATTCATAGGACTTTACTATCATTATATATTATATATTATACTATATATAGGTCATAAAGCACGGTTCCGGTACAACTCCGGCGCGTTTTTGCTTGAAAACAATACAAAAAGGTTGTAAGTGCGCGGGCGGCGCGCGAATATAAAAATATCCAAGGCACAATAAAATTTCAACTCGAGTTATTTACAGGCAGTTTTCTGTAAGTAACTCGAAATTTGTTGATAAACATAACATCACGTATTTTATCCCCAAAGGGGTAGGCAGAGTAATGTGCACACATTACGGCACTTATCACCACTTTACAATGTAACGCCCACTTTTCACTATTTAAGTTATAAGTCCGATGTAATAGGGGTGAGCCTATTGCCATATTATATCGGGCACATTCCCAGACTCCGTGCCACCATTGAGTAATACCTGCCCGACCCGAGAATCGAACCCGAGACCCCTTGCCCGGCAGTCGCACTTGCGACCATTTGGCCAACGACACAAGCATTTGTAGATACCTACTACAAGCTAAAATAATAATTCTATTACTAGGTACCAAAGAAAAGCCAGTTCTCGTTGAAACGTAAGAAGAGTAAGGACGACTTGGACCTCGGCGACCTCGTGTGTCCTCTGCACGATGACTGCTCAGGTGACATAACCAACTCACCAGTAAGTTGCCTTACTAACAGCACTAATCTGTAATACTTATGCACTGTTCACGAAATTATCAATAGAACATAGAATGTTATCATTTGAAACCTTATAGTAACGATTATAGAGTAAAACATCGTATAATTTTATCTATTTGTATAGTCGATGATGTCCACATGTTTATTGTCGTTCTATGGTATCTGTTTATTTAATATGTAATTGGTGATTTCGTGAACACTTTTTGAGTACGGTTTTAAAACATACAGAGATTTCATTCAGTATATTTATTTTGGAAACAATGTACAATAATTCAATTTAATTTGACACATTTTAGAATATTACAGGATTCTCAGTGGCGTTAAAATTAATATAAATACAATTACCTATACTATACAAGTTATAATAAACTTATATAATTATGATCATCAATTTTTGAGCACAAATGTATTTGAATTTTTATGTTTAGAGACTTTATCCAGGTGGCCAGATATTACAATTGAAATAAGCTTTGATTCATAGTAAGATTATCAGTTTAATATTTTGTTTGAAATTATTTGAGACTCACAAAGGTATGTTTGTTTTCTAGCACTATTTTATAACGAGTGTGCACTGTAGTTTGGTGATTGTGAACTTCTCTTAACAATATTTAACACGGCAATAATTGGGTTTCTTAGCTTTTGGTGGTTTGGGCAGCATAACAAAATTATACAATTTAATCAATAATTTATAGAAAAAAAATTAAATGTTTTATTCATAAAAAAGCCGCATATGTATAACCGGTAATTAGATGGAAATTTAATGAAACTGTTTTATTATAAGTTGTTTCTAATACTTTCAGACGATGAAAGTAAGATCAGCAACAGCGGACGTCGCGTCGGCTGTCTCTCCCCCGCGTGACGAGGCGAGGGCGCAATAGTACCGTCTTATACTAACCTAAGTCAATCTAGGTATGTCATTCATTCATCAAATACTAATCGGATTACTGATTACTACAAACATTAAAGCGATTGTTAAAATATATGTTAATGATGTGAAAAAAACAACAAAATCACGTCAGCGAAACATTTACTAAATTCTAATAATGAACTACAAATTAATACAATACAGGCTTCATAATCATGTTACCGTTTCGCTGAGATTTTACATCACTGTCTGTATAAATATAACATTGTTGTTGGATGTTAGGCTCGCGAATAATAACTACGAAGTCCTTTATAGTAAAGGTCATATAAAAAATATTTTATACGTAAGCCTATTCAAATTTCCGAAATGAATCATCAGACCCAAAACTCTAAAATAAAATAGAAAATTAGTAATAATATAATTATACTATGTCAAGATATTGTTAATGAAGATTCCCTCTATTTTTGTTGGAGATCGTAAGATCTACTATTCTATCGCATTTTTTTCAATGGACCACAGATAAATAAAGTCTTAAAGTGCTTAGATTTCGTTTAATATTGTGTAAATTAAATAAACTTTAGTTAATTGATGTGGAAAAGTAAAATTTTGTGAAAAAAGTATTAAAACCGAGGTCTTCGTCTAATTTCGACAGTGTGTTGGTGCTAAATTATGTATTTTGGCGTTCAGCCCTAAAAATATAGAAAAAGAATATTAAAGACTTAGTCCTCGAAGGTGAAATGTGTGTCCAAGGTATTAATTCAAATAATAAAGTTATGTAGTGTTTAAAACAGATGTGTAATATTGAATGCAACTGCCAAAAATAATGAGAGAAACAACAATTTTATTGTAGGTTTAATTAAGGTCGTCATTCAAGTTCATTCAAATTGGAACAGCAATTCTCACACGGAAAAATAATTTGTGAGATCCACAAATTGTTGTTCAGGGTTCAGGTGTGATGATGTGCATGTGAAAATTGTTTTTAAACACTCGCAACACACAAGAAACAAGAAGGGCAACTTTTTAAAAGGAAAAAGTAACAGCTTCACTATATAATAAAAAACTGTTAAGATATTGTGCGAAAGGCAAAAGAACAAAAGCTTAGTCCAGTATATTTTATACTTTATTAACTTTGTCAAGCTTGTAAGTAATGTACAATATTCTTTTGAAAAAAATAAGAGAGTGGCGACCGAGAGTAATAGATATTGATGTAATCATTTATTTAAGAAAAATATTTATTATACCTTTAATTTAATGGTTAAGTGAATATTTCCGGAGTCGTGTGTGCTGGTTGATATAATGTTAGTAAGAAAAGAATCAGATTGTCAAGCGAGCAATAGACATTCCATGGTGTTTTTATATCAAAATGAAATTTATTATGAAAGTGAACACAATCAACTAACAATTTGCATATTCATAAGTATTATTATACAGTTGTTACAATGTTTGCCGTACTTAGCGCTTTTTACAAGTAATTAAGTAGCGTAATTAGGAATCGACTGAAAGGCGACAATATTATTCTGGTCTCTTTTCCACTTCCTGGAAATACTTTTTCATATTGTTATAAGAGATTATATACCAGTTTATAATATATTTACTTCTATAGAATTGGGACGGCTTCAATAGTTGTTTCTGAAATACTTCTTGTTTATTTAAGAAATGTATTATAAGTAATTATATAGATGTCTTTATAAGCATTACCCTGATTAAACATCCTGATAGTCTGTTACAAGTATATTATAGCGTTTATTTGATATGTTCAATGTATGTGAAGCAAACATTCAGTTATATTTATATTTCTGTCGCACAATGTTATGAAGTTTGCTATGTTAAAACATTTACAAATGATTTGAGTTATAGTATAGTCCACGATCCTGTTCCTAACACGTTGTGCCAAATGTTATACATGTTGTAAGCCCTTTACGATAGACCCTCGTCTTCCATAGGCTTTATAAATAAAAGTTAAAAAAACTAGCGAGTGAATAATTTCACTAATGTATATCATTAAAACAACAAAGTCTTTGTACAATTACGTATTAAAACATTTTTACAATATCTTAAAAATATAAAATAAAGAATTTTAAAAGTTTAATAAATACTGAATGAACACAATTACTGATTTTCATTTTTTTAATATTCTTTATTATCAAATAACTGTTGTGATTTGGCTAATAATGCTTCATTGTTTTTCAATATTTTCAAGCCCTCTGTAATAGAAATACAAGTATTTATAAATGTATTTTGTACACAGGTTTCTAAATAACTACATACTAATTTACGATGAAGCATACTAATTGTCAAAATTCTGTTAAATTTTGATTGTACTTTGCATAGCTAACTCTACAGTTACCTTTACCCCGACCTTTCCGTCGCAGCTCAGCTATTCTCTCCAGCTCAGTCTCATCTTCCGTCTCCTTATCTCTCCTCTGCGCCTCATCCTGGGCTTGTTTTAGCAATGACTCTTCTAAAAATGTCAATTCTGTAAATAAGTTTGATATTGCTGGCTAGTTGGGACATCAAAACGATGTTATGTACACATATATGTCACAAGCTACTTCAGGTAAACTTTTTTTGTTTATTATCATACTCAGCTGGGTGGTGGCACAGCTGAACTTAGGTCCCTTTTGTTGTGGAGAGGTGGCCTTGACCCTCACTACCATTGGGGATCTCAATAAGGATACAGACAATTTAAGAGAATATCACAGCTTTAGGATGGTCCCGGTTTTGGCCATGTTATCCTCGATTGATTCCATATGAATGAAGTTTAATATTGTCAGTATAGGGAGTTTTGCAGTTTTTGTCTAGCTCTATGGGATGGACTCGTGAGTTCATTCATATCATATCATAAGGATGATTTTTTTATGGAATAAACCGGTTAGCGAGCAGACGGGTCACCTGATGGCAAGCAATAATGGATGGAACACCCAGAGGTGTTACAAATGCGTTACCGGCCTTGTGGGGATTAGGAATTTGAGGATTGTTGGGTATTGAGGGATTGGGAAAATTTACTTGTGAGTCTGGAATCCATCGCTATCCAGGGTCCGTTGAAGATGCTCCCAGCACACGGCCTGGATTTGGGATCCGGTTCCATTAGTTCTGTCACTTGTTGTTTGCATTCCGATGACAGTTGATTTACTACGCTTGTACGAAAACGCCACTTTCGCATCACCTGGTCGAACAAACTGGATTAAGTATCTTTACTTACCTAGCTCTTGGTATATTTATTCGCAAATATTGGCAATCATGATTATTATAGAATAAAGTGCTTCATTATTTGCGTAGAAATATTAACGGCAAGTACCTGTTTCTCATAGAGCTTTTTAACAGATGTCTCATTGAAAGGTAATGCTTTGTTGAGCATCGTGTAGAGGATTACGCCGAGTGACCACATATCCGCATACTTGGGTAAGTAAGGCACACCTTTCAGTACTTCTGGAGCTGCATAAGATAAAGACCCGCAGTAGGTCTCGCTCATTATGTCATGGGCGCGCACACGCACATTGCGTGCAAAACCAAAATCGGTAATCTTCACATTATAATTTGATGTTATTAATATGTTTTCACACTTGAGATCTCTATGCGCTATATCCATAGTGTGTATGTAATGAATGCCCGATATAATCTGCCTCATCCATAGTCTGCTTTGATTCTCTGGCACTGCGCCGTTTTGTGTCAAAAAATCTAGTAAATCGCCGTTTTCTGCGAAACGTAGAAAAATGAAGTATTTAGCTCGTCGTTGAAAAATGTGAGACACGTTCACAATATGGGGGTGGTTGATTCTTATTAGAACGTCTAACTCGCGTGGTAAGAACTTAGTAAGATAGTCGCGAGGGGCTTGCGCTGTATCTATCACTTTACAGGCCAGCACGGCGTGCCGTGTCTCGTCAACCATGTGTGTAGATTTGTAAACCTGCAAAGAATTTTATTCAATAGTCAAACACCTGTTTAAACGCCTCTCGCTTCATAATATTCATCTGCATGTTTATTTACCTTGGCGTAAGAACCTTCTCCGACCATTTTTTCTAATATGAATCCTTTTTCTTGTAATACCATGACGTCGGATTGTGTTGTACTAAGGTCTACCCTTTCGGTAGCAGGACCCATTTATATTACATTCTCGAACGGTTATTACCTCATTTTCACTTTTAATGGTATCATACTGGTACACAGTCGTGATAAAAAATACTATGGTGTATAGGTATTCATTTTTATTGGAGTTGTTTTACTGTAAATGTTGAAATGTAATTTTGTGACATTTATGTTTTATTACTATGTTAAAACAGCATAGCTACCAGTATCTAACGTCAGATTAACATAATGAAACTTTTTTGTTTTGTCTTACGCCCGTATATTGTAAGGCTCAATTGGGTACTTGCCAACTAGTCAAATCCAATACTTTTTACGAACTGTCAAAAACGACAGTTTCTATGAATTTTGTACGAGATTGTGCATTTCTTTTTCTTTTCTTTTTCTTTTTTATAAAATATTGTGACGTCACAGTTTTTTAGCGCCAAACAGCGTACACTTATTTCATAAAAAATGTTGGAAAAATACTAAAATGAAGTTGGTCATAAAATCGATTAATGAGAGTGTAATTATTTTTAATATTTTGTTGTATTGAACAGTCGAAATAATTTATTTTTGATTAAGGAAAGTACTGAATTTAAGTTGTGTTTAAATATCGTGCCATCTCTTTCATTTTACAAAGAATTTGTAGTGACAGAAATATACTTAGGCACGACCTAAAATTGTATTTGGATATGACAGAATTAGTTTATGTAGATATCAATCTGAGTACCTATTCACTCCAATACTTTACATTACCAGATCCTGCCTACATAATCCTCTCCCTTACTAATTCTCATTATCACTTTAATATAGTAATAACATAATTAATAAAATTAGAAAATAGTATGCATCTCTATGATAAGTATTCCTCCAAATTCAGATAAGGATCAAATCAACCGACAGAAGGCTACACTACTCGCCTAACATACAGTACAAGTTAAATCAGTACAATGAAAAAACATACTACGGATCTAACTAAGAATTTTATAACACGCAGTAGCATTGTAAGTGTAGCGAGCAAATAACTAGATTAATAAATGATTCTTTCATAAACTACGTAAAGAACGACTTCATCCCCCTCTTTCTTTGAAGTCGGTTAATTATTATAGCTACTACAACTTTTTCCTAAGTGTATCAAACACTTTACCACTACCATAACCACAACAAAATAGGTGCAGTCAATCGCGAGATAATCTCCTACAAACATTCATACATACATACAGGTCAAATTGAGAACCTCCTCATTTTTAAAGTCGGTTAATAAACTTTTTTTACCAGGACGTCGAAGAAGCGTTTACATCCACAGCGGCTTTCATTACAGAGGAATCAGGTATGGCAGTATTAACGTCTTTCTCATCTTGAGTCTCTAGATTCTTCTGCAGTTGTAACCTCTCCTCTCGTGCCTTCTTGAAAGCTAACGTCTCTTGAGGTGTCCATTCTATAATTTACATGCGAGCGAATTATTTGAAGAAAATATAGTATAAAGGCACAGTTTTAAAACATCTCAATTTTACCTAGTAATCTAGAGTCCATCGCTATCCACTCACTGTTAATGATGTGATCAATTTTAATTCGATGCTGACAATTTGGTTCTAACATTAGGGTCACCAAGCGCTTACAGTTTTCTGAAAGGGAATCTATATATCGCGATCGGAATTTCCAATTTCTATTCATTTGAGCTTGAAATAACTGTTTAATATGCTTGTCTTCAAATGGCATAGCCCTGTTTAGCATTACATAGACGACGATTCCCAGTGACCACACGTCTGTTGGCTTGGGGTAGTACGGCGCACCTTGCAATATCTCCGGAGCAGTGTAAGATAGCGAGCCACAAAACGTTTCACTATGAATATCTTTCAGTGACTTATCAACACATGAACGAGCAAAACCAAAGTCAGATAATTTAGCGTTTTGATTAGCAGTAAGTAGAACGTTTTCACATTTTATATCTCTGTGAGCTATTTCAAGTTCGTGCATGTACTGTACGGCCAAAGCAAGCTGTCGCGCCCAAATTCTTGCCTGGTCTTCCTGCACAGCACCCTTCTGAAGAATATACTCCAATAGATCTCCGTGTTCCATATATCTCATGAAAATGAAATATTTATATCTTCTCTGAAATATGCTGTGGGTGTGTACGAGATGTGGGTGATTCAGTTTTATCAACATATCTATTTCTCTTGGTAGAAACTTTTTTACGAAGTCCTTAGGTGCTGTGTTGGTATCAATTACCTTGCAAGCTAGTATTGATAGCTTATCGTTCTTGGATGGATTTCTGTATTCCGCTAGATACACCTGTATTGTGTAATAGTTACTGTTTAATTAATATTTTGTGCCTAAATTCTACTTGTATCCATGGACGTTGAAAAACACATGGCTAATTGCTACTATAGAGTTACGTGCAGAACATACACACATTGACAAGAAGGACATCTGTCATTTCCTAATTCTGATAATGTGGTCCATTTACACACGCACACATAAATAACCCACTGACATATTGGTGCTTCAATCATTTCAAATAAATTCTAAGTGACATTATGTCCGCCTTTTATACAACGTCCGTGCCTGTACCTATCTACCTATGTAAATAAATAGATGTTATAGGAAATACCTTAGCATAAGATCCTTCGTTCACTTTTTTTATCATTTTATAGCCACGAGTAGCGAGTGTCAATTGTTCTGATCCAGAAAGTCTAAGTTCATCATCCGCATGATGAACCTGTTCAAAACATGTTAGTTAGTTAATTTTTTGTTGTAAAAAGTGTAGAGTACAGTTTGACAATTGTAGTGTTTAACATATACCTTTGACTTGCCCTCCATTTATCTTTATTTTGCGTGCTTTGATGTGACACTGGCAAGAGATTTAAACATTTCACTGGCCTGTAAAGCAAAAGTTTTATTTTAAAAATAATACAAAATATAAGTACTATGTTTTAGCGACAGCTTTACGTTTATACGAGTTTACCTTATAAACAGAACTTCTACCGGCGCTGTCTAGAATGTCTCCGTGCTTTGCAATTGGGTGTTTCCGCGATTCGGAGTTTCGTCGATGTTCCTCTTTGGCTCGTTTGAGTGCCGATGCTTCTACTGCATTCAAAGCTATTAAGATTCCAGTTTAAAGTATCGAATATTGCTTGTAATTTTTAATTTGTCAATAGCTTTCGTAATAATATGTGCGTCTTAAATGCAAGCTTTCACATTTTGTGTTTCGTTTGGTAAATCTAAGGGCTCCTTCAATATAGGCGTTGTGGGTCGAACGTATGCTGTGTCGAAGCGGTGCGTAAGGCTAAGTTTAGAAGAACGCGCGATACCGCACGGTCCAAGGTCTAAGTAAACAGCTAGTATCGTCTAACTACCCGCGCGCTAGTTCTTGGACCGCGATAATCCGTGCCGCGTATGGCACCGCGTGGTTCAGGTTCTACAAACCTATACATACCGATCTGTTCAGTTGATCCGTGCGAGTTGAGACGGATATTCGCATAGATTTAGAAAACACTGACTACCGAAAACGACGTTTGCCGCTCGTACGTGTGTGAATGCTCTTACCGGGCGGCGACGTGCGGGTTCGCGCGTTAATCTGAACTTAGCCTTATTTTCATACATGGCGCGCGGGGATAACGGCGTCTAAATTAAAAGAGCCCTCAACTTATTATTTTGTAATGTTATAATAATAAATAATTCTAATGGTCGGTAACCTTTAACCCCAGTAAACTGCAATGGCCTGATAAGTTCGTACATATTAAGACTTCGTTTAGAACTCACTGGTAAGCCTACTATCCATAGCAATCCATTCGGAATTGAGCACCTGTTGGGCGGAGTGGCGTAGTCCTGGATCGGGCTCCAATAGATGTTTCACGACAGACTTACACTCGCTTGAGACAGCACTGCTTACTCTAGACCTGAATCTGTATTTCTTTCCCATCTGCTGCTCGTATAATTTACGCATTTGCGTGTCGTCAAATGGCATACACTTATTTAGCATCACAAATAACACCACCCCCAAAGACCATAGGTCTGTCGGTTTAGGCATGTAAGGTTTACCACGCAGAATTTCAGGTGCTGCATATGACATCGAACCGCAGTAAGTCTCACTTAGAGCAAGGGTGTCGGTATCGTCGAGACAAAATCGTGAGAAACCAAAATCAGAAAGTTTCACGTTGTAGTTGGCTGTCAATAGGATGTTCTCACATTTGATGTCACGGTGCGCTATTTCCAACTCGTGGAGGTATTGTAAACCTAGTGCAAGTTGTCGAAACCACACTCTCGACTGATTCTCAGAAACGCAGCCGTTCTTCAAGACGTAACCTAACAAATCGCCGTTTTCAGAAAATCTCATAAAAATAAAATACTTCGTTTTTCTTTGAAATATACTATGCACATTTATAAGATGTGGGTGACTCAAGCGAATGAGCACGTCGATCTCACGTGGCAAAAACTTCACAACAAAATCTCTTGGCGCTTTCGAAGTTTCTATGATCTTGCAAGCAAGTATAGCCTTGTGTTTTTCATCCTTTGAAGTGTATTCTGCTAAATATACCTGTTAAAATACGCTACGAACATTAGGCTGCAGCTTTCTTTTTTAGTAAAACTATTATTTTTCTAATTTCCAAAATTGTATAGAACACAAAAAATAAAACTGAACCTTTTTGGTCTTCGACCACCGGTTCGCGGTGTAAATGATGATGAGAATTATCTAAATTATAAAGGCGATTTGTACTGAGAAACAATTTAAAGACGTAATGAAGTCTTTGGGCCTGGGTGGGACATGGGAGTATTAGAGAGGGGAACTCTACATCGAAGGACATCGACACTTGACCTTTTTTGGTTGACCTTCGAGGTCAATTAGTGACTTTAAAGTCATTTTAGGTGTAGTATGCGCTTATGAAGACCTTGACCTTTAAGGGATGACCAGCTTTATGGGTGATCTTGGAGGCCATTTTGGAAGTTCCGCACAATGACTTGAACCAGAGCCGGAGACGAGAGGTTACCGTCGCTAATAACATAGAGGCCACAGCGGTGCTCAGCGTATGCAGGGCATTCCGCCACCGAATGATCCACAGTATCCTCCAGGTGGTCCTTACAGTGATGACACCCGGGCGAGTTAGTAACTAATGGTGCAAGTGCAACTTCTGTTCTAATTAACAGCAAAGAGTCACGTTGACATACCTTAGCATAGGCGCCTTCGCCTAAAAATTTTTGTAATTTATATCCTTTCGAAGACAAAGTAATTTCTTCTGAGATAGTAGTTTTCAATTCTGACATGTTAATACAAACATGTGGTAAAACATAGAGCACAGTGTTTTCCACGCACCACCATTCAACGCACCCTTTGGATTCGCTGGTCGGCTACTCATATTCAAAGGGAACGTATTCATTTTTATGAATTAAAAATGTTATGTTTCAATGATCACTAAAATTTGTATTTACAGTTCTTCATGTTGTTTCGTGTCAAATTGTGTCATCCTACGTCTCCATGACGTAGACAGGTATTCTTATTTCTTCTTAGTTATCTGCTCCTTTCGTGATTCCTCATATTACACTAAGGAGGTAATAAACCAAATGGTCGATCCAACAACTATAAAGGTTATAATAAATATTCGATGAAAGTAATAATTTCTGTTTTGCGAAAAAGAAGCTCTGTGTTTGAGTATTTCTTATTTTTATATAGGCACTACATACACCACTTTGTTCTTTATTCTTATTATAGTATACATACATACTTAACCTCACGCCTATCTCCCATAGGGGTTAGACAGAGACTACAGTATTTCTGAGATTTTCTCTCCCTGCTGTATAGAAGGTCCGACCCCTTAGTTATGTTCACCAATACTTTTAATACACCTATGCACCTACATACTTATATGTTTTAGCTTTTAAACTGAAACGAAAAGTCAAGCCAACTTAAAAAATCCCAAACAAAATATCCAAACGCAGAAATTTTTATACTAACCGCGTTGGATAAATGCGACACGAAAGTGTCATTTGAAGAATGTCTCGAATTTTATAAATAATTCAATAAAAAAATTCTGTTATTGATAAAGTATGTATTTGTATATGGGAAATTGTCAGTAAAACAATTAGTTTTCTTTAATAAATTATATTACATATAAATATATTATTAAACTCTATTAGGTAAATAACAGATATCCTTAACTAACATCGACATTCTAATAAGTAAAAAAAAAGATATTATAACTCAAAACAACTTTGTCTTAAAAAAATAATTATTACATTTCTAACTGCTTTTTGTTCAAAAATTCTCCTGCTAACGATATTCTCTGTAAGAAAGATGGCGCTGGTGTCAACAACAGCTCATATTTATCGACATCTGGATGATTTGGATACCTTTTCTCTTTACGTATTCGCTCTAACATGTGCTGAGGTTCACATTTTGATTTAGATTTCCAATCACTGTTCAAAAAGTCTTGTAAAACCTTCGGTAGTATTTTGAAAGTTTCTTTCGCCTTCGTCTCACTGGGAGTCTGTAATTGTTCCGGTGGATTTTGTGGAACTATTATGTCATCTACGTCAAACTGCGTCGTCGGGGTGTTGTTATCTGAAGAGAACGCGAGTTCGTCCTCATTCTCTGGTTTACTGCTAGTGTTGTTATAGTAACTATTTATACGATCTTTGACTATATCTCTTAGACTAGATTCATTTTTTGTTTTCTCTCTCTCTGTACCATCGATATTGACGTAGCCAGTTCTCGTTTCGGTCTTAATCAATACTTGATTTTGATCTAATTTTTCAACTGTGCCACTTTTAGCACCTTCAGACGTATTTAGCATTGTTTCATTTTGTACAGTCTCGGCTGTTTCATTTGGAGCGACTTTAGCAGATCCTTCGATGGTAGTCATAAATTTTATGTTGTCTTCTTCTTCTAACATTTGGTATATTCTGTGAACTTCGCTTATATTGATGCTGTAAACAAAATATTTGTGTTAAGTTTAGGTAAAGTCTAAGGCCTAAGGTCTCGAGGCTACAATAGGAAAACCTATTAGATAATTAGCTATATTTAAATTTTATACAGAACTTTCTGGTAAGCCAATTTTCTAGTATAATGTGACATTTCAACTTGTCTAGACTTACCCTTGTCTAGCTTCGTGACAGCAATACAGCATCGTGGGGTCGATTGGATGCGCTTCTGTATTGAATACATAGCCACCAAGGTCAACAACACATTCTCCATTGGGTGTGTTGATAACAGTGCCATGTACGCCCGGGTTGTGGATGAAATTATCCGGGTCGAACAGTAAGTAAAGGTACTTCGTCGTTTCAGCAAGGAAAAACGATTCCATGCGATCCTCTTTACGATGGTCACGCACGTCTTTGATCTGGAATCAATCGTTTTTGCAATTCAGTAAGTAAGTATTCATATTTCTTTCATTTCACCTAAAATATTTTACAGACACGTTCGGTCGTATAATTTGAGGAACTAACCGTGGCATAACCGCAAGGTGTCCGCGCAGAATGCTGAATACTCCTCAGGATGTCTTCTCCCATCTGCAGCAGTATAGGATCTCTGGTATCCCTGTATAAGTACATGATGGACTCAATAAGTTCTGGACGGAGTGGGTAACTTTCTCGAGACGAGGAAGCTTCGCCAGTTCCAAGGTTGTACACTTCAGGAGTGAATCCGTATTGTCTCCACACACTGTGGTAATTGTGGATTATGCGCATCGCTGTGTCGCTTTCACCTGCAAAGGGAAGGTGTTAACGATACCTATGATGATTTATTTAGTTGACGAAGTATTGGCAGTAGTTTGTGGTCGCAGAAAATTAATTTTAAATGTTTAGTGGAATTTAAGTGGACAATACTCATTACAAACAAAATCTTAGATGGTAGTTCGACATTATCTTATATCGAGTGCAATTGAGAGTAAAAGGCCGTGACTCCACCTCAAATACAGACTTCTACCAAGTCAAAAGATTCTTTAACGACTTCAAAAAAGGAGGAGGTACTATGTTCGGCTGATTGTTTTTTTTTTCTTTTTTTATTTGTTCGCCGATTATTCCGCCATTTGTGAATTGATTTCCAAAATTCTTGTTTTGTTTGAAACAGTATACTCCCGAGATGGTCTATTTCCGTGAGGTTAGGATCTGATAATGGAATCCTATCGAAACCGAGGGGAACTTTCGAAACTTGTAGGGGCGAGTAATGCGTCTATTATATTTTTCAATTAGTATTTTTAAACACTACAATTTGATAAGGGTCTAGAGTCGACCTGATGATGGAGCCGACAGACAGTCGAGGGAACTCGTCAACAATTTATATTAACTACCTTGTGTTTGGGCTTAATTAATTTGTATTGAGCCCTTTACGCCTAGATGTAGTGGGACTGCCATTAAAGGTCTGATGATGAAGAAGTGTAACTGTTAACTCGTCGAGTACCGGTTTTGCAGACACAATTATAGAACAATAGGTTGCGGTCACCGGTGACCGCTTGGTATTTGACAGTTTAAGGGAACTCCTCAACGGTATACAGTAACTACCTTGTGTTTCGGCTTGATTAATTTGTATTAATGAGAACTTTACACCTAGATGGAGTGGGACTGTCATTAAGCCTTTAACAGCCGACAAAAACTGTTAAAGGCTAATCCTCCGCTAGCCTCGGACATCATCAGTCTGATGATGAAGAAGTGTAATTGTTAAGGGAACTCCTCAACGATAAACAGTAACTACCTTATGTTTGGGCTTGTATAATTTACATATTCTTACCAACAAGGCTAAGTACCCCAGGCCAGTAAGATTCCAGTGACTGGAACACGGGCAGCGTGACGTGGCCTCGCAACATAGTCGCCCACACGAACCAGTCATCTTTCTTCAAGTACTTCTCTATCGCTTTCCGAGCTTCCATAAACATCGACATTAGTTCTGGTCTCTCTAATAAAATGGCGCCTAAAAATAGATTTAATGGTAAGTAATTTTCATAGAAAAGTGTATGTGTGTAACTCTACAGAATTTTCAATCTGATTGACGAACAAATAGTTCATAGTTTATACAAATACTTGATCGTATCGAGAAATTGAACATTTTAGGTCCTTAAGAATTCATGGTATGTAGTCGCACTTGCAATCATTCTATCAGCAATCAATATTAACAGATCCCTATTAATTAATTTTATAATGCCTTTTATTCGGATATAACAATTTCTATTCTTATGTCGGAATACTCAAACGTTACTCAATTTTAAGTCGCGCTTAAGTATAGTTCTGTCTCTACAAATTATTTCTGAAATGACAGAGATGGCATGAGATTTAAGCACGACTTAAAATTGAGTAACGTTTCAGTATTCCGGCATAAGTTTATCATTATGGTTTTTTGAGCATGGCCTGACTCAAGTAATTCCCGCGATTTGTCTAATGTTGTTGTCAGTTTAAAAATTTTATACTCTGTACCTTTAACTAAGTATTCATAATAAGAATCGACACCGCCACCAATGCCGGCATCCTGCGCTGTCCAGCGGCCCGTCATGACGTCTACGTGGTTACCCACTAGACCTATTGGTGATTTGTGATGATATAATGCTAGAAGTGCATTATAAGCAACCTGTGAACCATAATAGTGAGTTATTACTTAGTGAAATAAAAAAATTAAACATTGTCTATTTCCAAAAAGATAAGCTGAACTATTCTTGTTACAGGCCAACTTTTCAGTTCTGGTTTTTAATAGGAAACTAGTCTTTATAACTTTAAAAAAAAACATTTTTTTCCAATTTGAAAATGGAACCAAAAATTATTTAATCAACAGATGCACTTATAATCTTTCTACATTAACAATTTTCATACCTCTTCATAGAGGGGATCTCCAGTAAGACGGCTCAATGTACCAAACTCTATAATAAATGTTCCCACACCAGCTGTGCAAGTAACACTTGTTTCTCCAGGAGGCACACCAGACCTCAAGTTGATAGTTCCATATGGCATACCAGTTGTGGTATCAAATGCAGCAATAAGCCTTTGTGCTACATCTTCAGCCAGTCTTAGAAGTGGTCCATTACATGGCCAGCCTGGTTCTAATTTCAAACCTGTTCTGAATAATGACAAAGAAATGTTTATTATTAAAAGGTCCGAGTAAAGAATAATTTCTTATTCTTAAAGCACATTTGTAGGCACCCTTACATACAAACATATAAGGGTGCCTACAAATTAGCTGAAAAGGTGAACCCAATAATATTTTTTAAACTTACCTATGTGACAATAAATGAGCACTCAACAGCCCTCCAATTATCCTAATATTAGTTTCAAATACAGACACATTTATATCTGCATCAAAGTCCTTCTTTTGCAACACTAACTCAACAACTCGGTTGAATTCTGTGTAGTTTCCCATGATAGCCAGTGTATCTAGGGCATCTATGAGAGTGAGAGAATAGCTTCCCCACGTGTCCACGCCGTCACAGCTCAACGGCCGCAATTCATCGTAAGGATATGCATATCGTAAGTAGCTATCATAAGCATGTTGGAACATTTCACGCACTTCTTCTCTGTAACAAAAGTAATGTTCATGATAATAAATCTATAGTGACTATGGATCATTATCCCCAATGGATATATTTTTAATTGAAATGTGTAGTCAAAAAGGGACAATGTAAAGGTGACAGAAAGTGTGAGGGACACTTCCAATTAGATATTGTTAAATAAGAATTGATGTAATGGGGAATATTTTATAATCATGAGAAAGTGATTAACACATAGCCAGTACGGTGGTTATAATATATATATTAATTTACCTGAGCTTTAGTATGTCAGCTTTTTTGTACACTCTGACAGCAAAACTTGTATCACAGCCATAGCCTATGAAAAGGAGGAATATAACCGACTTAAACATATTTTTCAACGAGATATAGCCTTTTATTCACTCAGTTTTAATCATTTATAATATTTTCATTTGTTTTTTTTTATAATATTTATCAATTCTAAGCGACTTGACTGAGCTATTACAGCTGTTTCTGTTTACGTCGAATTGTCAATTGTCAGTGTCAAATTAACATGTGTCAAAATAATGTCACTGCCAGTTGGTCTTCCAACACAGACCTACTATAATATGGACCAGAAATACCTACAAAATACGCGTGCATACCTACTAGAAACCGCGGCCTAAAAATGGCTGCCATTGCTAGGGAAGACTGTAGTCAAAACCAAAAAGTATCGATATCGATAGCCAAGTTTTATACATTCTTCTTCTGGTACTTTGGTTGTTTTTTTAAGGTACAAATCATCGAATGACTTCTCACGCTCTGGGTAGAGCGGGGGGCACGTCAGACTATTACTGGCTAAAACCATACCCAAATATCCCCGTTTATCTCTCTCTACCGGTCTCCGGGCGGTGCATAGTCCACAAAATGGTGGCACCGGAGTGTTTCTTCCGCCTGAATCCGATACAGGAACTTAAGCGCTTGTGTGCTCGTAAAAATAAATGGTTTAAAAAAATACCAGTATGTGTTGTAATTGTTTATTGAAGAATGATACTGCAAAGTGTAATGAACAAATACGTGACGCTTTAAGTCCAGGTTTGATATTTTCCGTCCCAATGACTTCAAGCCACTTCTGACGCAGCACTTCATTTTTAGGGAATCTGTTGAAATAAAAAAAAACATAAAAATTATTTCAGTTTTGTGCATTTAGTGGAACAAATTATAAAATGACAGCACCTACTGTATGTAGAATTAATATTATTGTTTTGGTACTATCCCTATTTTTATTTCTATTCTGTAAGATTTATTTTCAAAATTGTCTCTTCAGACCCTTTACAAACTAAAAATATGTTAGTTTCTTATCGATATGTTATTAAATAAAATACATCACTATTGTAAATCGTCATTTGTAATGTAAACAAAACATAAAACAAATTTAGCAAATGAAGTTAGTTATTAGAACCAAATGGAATGTACATTTGGGGGCTTTTATTCTATATATAAAACAAGGCTAGATAAACAAGAAAACTAATAGTATGATAAAGTTTTTCTTAAAATACGGCTACTAACCTGTGCATAGTCAAATGAGGTTGATTGGGGTTTTTCCTTTCCCCACACTGAATTATTGAACTCGTATACATATTGAATATGCACCACCAGACACTTACAGCACAAAACAATTTAGTTAGGAGCGTTTTTATTGATAAAAATCGCAATCCAAATCCAATGTTGTTGTTCGCTTGACACCTGACGTACTACAAAACTATACGGCCTAAAGATGGCGGCTGGCACGCGAGGTAGGTACCTTGTCAGAAATGTAGAAATGTTGCCAGGCAGAGAATAAACAAACAACATGACGTCTCTTTCTTCAAATGAGGTTACTCATTGATTAAAAAGGGACAAAGTGTGGTTTCATATTTCTATATCGATTTGATATATATTTGTATAAGCAAATAAGCTATAGATCATTACAACGCATCTATATAATACTAAATCTATGTCTTCCAAAGACTAATGTTTTTAATTTTAATTGGTAAGTAGGGAATTAAGTTCTAACCATGTTGTAATTTTAGTAAACCTTGTTTAAAAATATTACGTTCAGAGGCCTTAGTACGAGTTTCTTTTTCGTTTAAAGTAATCGAAACGAGACTGCGTTCTGTGCTCTGATTGGTTGGTTCATTTGAGCCAGCCAATCACAGCGTCGAACCCGTACACGTTACGATTACTTTAAACGAAAAAGAAACTGGTACTTAGCCCTCTGGTCTTGGTTTGGGTTCAAAATATATTTGCTCGCTACACAAACAGGCTGAAACAAGTTTTTGATCCCAAGCGCATTATGCTTTCCGGTTTACGAACAAGTACTGCAAAATATCGGAGTTATTCGAGGTGATAACTGTAGTTTAATTGCAGTTTATGACCTAATAATGAAATTAACGTTGTGAATGAAGTAAAATAGAATGTATAAAGAATATGATGAATAAATTATTTTACTAAACATAATTATTAGAAAAAAACGAAAAAAGAGAGCATTGCCTAAGCATGCCAATAACAAAACAACGGTTGAAACCATAAAGTTTTAATGTTCATAGACAGTAGAGGACTATTTTATTACTCGCGATTTCATTGGACCAAATTTAAATTACCATAGACAAGAGAATAACGTAAACTACAACAGCTGAAACTTCTAAAATGTCTCTTGTCCGTTGACGCTTCGCTTGCGTTTTGAGGGTGGATTTTAACAAAACCGCCACATATTTCTTAATTTACTCTCATTTTTTCAACAAAATGTGCCTTTAGTTCAAGTTATTAGGACATTTCCGCTTCGGTTGCCATTCTTGCATTCGCGTGGTCCGTGTTTGTCCGGTCTGGTATTTCATTTCATTAGTGTTTACGGAAGCGGGGGCAATGGCTTTTAGAATACATGAAGATCAAGAAAATGCCTCTTTAGGCTTAAGAAAAGACAGTGCTGATGTGTTTGGTAACCAACGTCGAGCCCTGGGCGACCTCAGCCAGTTTGCATGCAACCAAAGTCGGAATTTGAAACTCGTAAGTATTCTCTGGTGGGGTAAGTTTGTGTTGTTTTTTACTAGTTTCAGTTTGCTTTAAAATAATTTGTTTGTAGCCGGGGCTGACCAACGGGTCTTGCAAAGTTCAAGATGAGAACAGAACAATGCGTCAGATTAAAAATGAAAAGAACATCGTACCACCCGTGGCGCAATTTCGCGCCTTTAGCGTTTATGAAGACAAACCCACGGAGGCCGAGGTCAAGAAAAGAGAGCACACATTTAAGCCTTTTGTTGCTAAAGATACCAAGAAGGATAGCATATTTGTCAGTAACGAGAGTACAAAAACGCTGTGCCTTCAAGCTGAGAAGAAACCAGATCGGCTGATCGAACCGCCTTCAGTTCGGTAAGTTTCCAAGTTAACCTTTATTTTGTAACCTAACACTCGAAGTCAACATTTGTACATGTTGGTCTCACTTCTACAAGTGGCCTACCTACATATCAGAAATATTAAGATGCCATGAAACTTTTTGTGAATTGTTTTATGGCATGTTCAGTTTTGATCATCTGAAAAAGATTCTAGTTTACTTCTATCAATGGAAAATCATTTAGGCTAGGTCTGAGATTTGAGGTTCTATAACCTAAATAATTTCGCTTCTATAATACACCTAGTAGTTTCATCCTGATGTCTCCCAAGCCTACTGTTGTACCTATTATACTGCTACTTTATTAATATTATTAATACAAAAGTTTGTGAGGAATTGAGGATGCATGTTATTTTTTTATGTTGATCATTTTCTCATAGAAATTTGGCACGGACATAGATTATAATCTGTTATAACTTACAACATATTGATTTTTTACTCTAGCACTGTGGACGAAGCCACTGATAGAAGCTAATGTTATTACAGACTACTGTTAAAGACAATTTTAAAGGAACTTATAACCCAGGAATCTAACATCTTGTGATTGGTTCAACCTTAGTGATTATGGCTTTCTTTATTATGTGACAAGACTTGGGGAACTTAGCATTGTTGTTAGATAATAATATCAAGTTTACAATATTGCAAATATAACGAAATGAGGAGTGATCTTATTGCTCATTTTATTATATTTTACCTCATGTTGGTTTAATTACTAAATAATTTAATACCTCCCTATTGCCAATAGCCTCCATTTTATTTTCTTTTTGCTAGGCCTCTACAAGAGAAGAAAAATGTGGTGGAATCTCCAATGTCAGTTGTGGACACCAGTGTGCTCTCTATGTCAATCTCCAGGAATGAGAGTCAGATCATTGATGATGAAGATGACGACACAACCACTGCACAAACTGATCGGGAGATGTTCTTCCATGTGGTGGAATACCGTCAAGACATTTATGAGTACATGAAGGAGATTGAGGTAATTATTGTTACATTATTTTCTTACAAGCTGTTTTAGATAATGAAAGAAGTTCATTACTATCATTTTGATATGAATTTAAGGTCACAGTAATTAGGCCAAATAACATAAGCAATTTTAGCCATGACCACAGCAGTTAGAATTATTTATCTAATTGCAATTTTATTTACTTTGTGGTCAAATGTTGCTCTTCACAAGAAATCCATCCAATACACAACATAATTTCGAATTTTATTAGAAATACAGGAAATGTATTTGCCCTACTTTAATTTGCTTGGCATTAAAAATTCATATTAAGCAATATTTGTTTTTGTTGTGGTATGCAAAAAATACATCATTTGCAGTTTTGCAGTAATGCAATGTAAATTGAAGCATATGTTGTGGTAATTTTGTCTGAACTGTATAAAGGTTCATTTTATAAGTAGTGGGAAAAGTAAACTCTTATTTGCAAACTATACATATACAACATAACTTCTGCATTAGCATAACAAGCTTAACTTTCTGCTGTAATCCAGCAATGAAATATGTAACTAAAATATATCACTTGAAAGATGTTAGTGTAATAATGTTTTTGTTAGAGTAACTTAATTCTGTCAACATTAAACTGCTGTAACGATATTATTCTATTAAACTGTCTTCTAGAAATAATTTCTTGAGTATTGTTATTAATGGTGGAAATGTATCTTCATGTTTGAAACAGAAATTGATACATGTACCTGCTTTTAAGATAATATTAATTATTTTTAGGCCAAGAACCGAGCCAACCCCCGCTATATGCGCAAGCAGCCAGACATTACACACATGATGCGTTCTATCCTCATTGACTGGCTGGTTGAAGTGTGTGATGAGTACAACCAGCAGAGTGAGACCTTGCATCTGGCTGTGTCTTACGTGGACAGGTTCCTGTCTTATATGAGCGTTGTGCGCACTAAACTTCAGCTTGTGGGCACAGCTGCTACTTACATTGCTGCGTAAGTATTGATTTACGTCTTTATATTAGCTTGCAAAAAATTATGTACATTAATTAAACATTGTGTGCTGTGATTTGCTGAATACCTTACAAAAATTAAAGTTTTACCTTACTAAAGTTAAGAAGTTTATCCGTGCTGTACATATTAAAAATAGAAAGAAATAAAAGGTAGTAGTAAAATAGTAGAGTAGAAGTTGAGGTTTGGGGCTGGAGACAACCGAGGAAAAGAAGATATGCTCTCTTCATTTCTGAACAGTTAAAAAGCATACTTTCGTTTATTTGCCCACAGTAAATATGAAGAAGTGTATCCACCAGAAGTGTCAGAGTTTGTGTACATCACAGACGACACATATACGAAGCGTGAGGTATTGCGCATGGAACATCTCATCCTGAAAGTCCTGTCATTCGATCTGTCTACACCAACCTCCCTTGCCTTCTTGTCTCACTACTGTATTTCAAATGGGCTTTCCAAGAAGACATTCCACCTTGCTGCTGTAAGTATTGAAATCTTGTATTCCTAATCATAGTTTGTTTCTTCCAATGACAATATTTTGTACTAATCCATTAAGAATACCAGTTATGCCAATTATATTATCACATTACCAAACCAATATCATTTATTAAGCTACTTGTCTCTTACATAATGTAATGTTCAGTTCAGATGTTGAATTCCTGGTGCTAAGTTAATGTTATTCATTTTCCTCTTAACAGTATCTTGCTGAACTTTGCTTGCTGGAGGCGGATCCCTACCTGCAGTTCAAGCCATCAATCATTGCGGCAAGTGCACTTGCGACCGCACGTCACTGTCTTCTGTGTGAGCGCTGTACAGGCGAGGACTGCGAGAGGCGTGACTCTCGCGACGGGAAAGAAACAAGGCCTCACGCTAGTTGTAGTGCCCTGGCCTGGCCCGCCGCGCTCGTCACCTGCTCCGGCTACTCCCTGGCGGACCTTGATGGCTGCCTCCGGGAACTTGCACGCACACACTCTCACGCCTCGCTACAACCTTACCAAGCTGTACCCGACAAGTACAAGAGCAACAAGTAAGTCGAAACAAATATTTCTTAGTAAATATTTTAGTATTTAGTTATTTGTATTTTAAGTTGTTTATATTTATTCATAATTAAGTTATTTAAGTTTATTATTAGTACTCATTAATTAAAAATAAAGTTTATTGACTTAAAAAACACAAAGAATAAACTAATTTATTTGATTTAGAGCCTGGTTTCTGTTAGTCTAATCTAAGCAATAGATAAGCTGGTTTATTTCTTGTATGTGAAAGATTTGTGTTAAGGTACCTAATTAAAAATTATTTTTCATTTAGATTTGATGGCGTGTCAACGGTCGAGCCGAGACCAATGTTCTCAGTGCCCAAGTACCAGCCTCCAGCGCCAGCCAACGCCGCCAGGCCGGCTGACAATACTCGAAGCAGCTAGTGAATTCCCTCGATAAATAATAGGTCATCGTGTTACTTAGAATTAGTCCAATTGACTTGATTTGTATGAGCTGGATGAGACCGAATTAAGTGTTGATGCAAACATTGTGCATGTAATATCATTTGCTCAGTCAGTTGGTTATTTCAGTTTCGCAAACAATATCGTACACCATGCTTATTCCTTGCTGAAAGTACAAAACAACCAAATCATGGCCAGTAGGAATCATTATTAGCTTTGTATGGCCAAAGATGTACATATCGAAATACATGCATAAGAAATTGCACTTTTCCATTCACTGAAAATAAGTTCCAAAATAGTGGATAACAGTATCAATAGAAGTAATGTTAGTTTGCAATATTATTGCGCTTGTTGCCAAGCAAGGAAAGAAAACGCGTAACTATTTAGAGCCTCATATGCCTTTTGAGGTTCTGATAATTTTTTAACAGCTGAAATTTGCTTTGCAGTGGAGCATATAAGGTGAGTACAACATTTCTCAGTATGTCTAATTTGAAACCAAGACTTTATTACATTTATCCTATCTCGATATGAAGAGACTAGATCTGTTGGATAATTACGTATATTGATTGGGATATTTTGTGAGTTGTTATGCTAGTTTTAGTGTTAACATTTTCCTATGGAAATAAAAATAAAACTTCGACTTCTGTTAGCATGTGAGATCTTTTTGCTTATTGTGTATTGTGATTTTATGGTTGCATGACGAGTGGTCCTCAGGCATTACATTTTGTGAAAACTTAATACCCTCTAAATACAAAAATAAATATCAAAGAATCCTTTATAAAAATACCATTTTCCAATACTCCAAACACTCGCCTAGACCATAATTTATGTACAAATGTTAATCTTAAGTTTGTATCTATTTTATGTCGTAACCCTTCTGTGTTCATTGGAGGTCTTCCGTGCTTTCCACTTACCTAGTTACTGTATGAACTTATTGCCTAAACATTGTTGCGATTGTGTTTGATTTAAATAAAGGTATATACACCCGGGACCAAGACTAGGTAATTTCATAAATAATCAAGATGTCATTTGATGGAAATTCTACAGGGTTTTGTAATTTAGTTCTTAGAAATCTACATTTACAAAGCTTTTGAATTGAGCATTGCGTTTTTCTAATTGGGAAATTAGTTCTGTTTATGATTCTTAATAATTTCATATTCCAATTGATAAATAATTAAGCAGCATTTCAGTGCTATGTTTGTTAGTAAATTATTATTTTTGAGATGTAAGGTATGTTTTTAATATTGGTTAGTTTTTAATGTAATTTAATATAATAATATAATCGATATTTTTCTCCAGTTTTGTAAATGGAGGTAAGTACGAGTACCTTTATTGGTAATATAGTATTTTAAATAAATAAACTTGCTGTTTTATTTACCTTGTACAATAGTCCACAAAAATGTAGCTCTAATTTAAACAACATATAGAGGTCTGAAATCTGTCAATCCTCATGAAATATTTTTTTTTAATGCGTGAAATATACACCATTACACCCTGTATTAGGTTGCTTATATTAGCTATATTAGTGGTGGCTAAGATGTGTGCTAGACGAGCTACGGTCAAATCTATTTGGAGATCGTCTGCGTCAGCGCAGCGACGCAAAGTCGTGGCGCGCCCCAGAATGTAAAGTCACACTACAAAATACAGCACAACTGACAGAAATAATTAAAACGAGTACTGAATTTCTTTGACTTCATATATTTTATCTTAAGAAAATATAATTTCCTTATTTTTAAATCTTGATGTGCGAGGTCATTTAGAATAATTAAGAAATATTTGTACTGTTGACTTGCTGTAGAACGATTCGGTGGTTTTATGAGTTGTGCTTCTCTTGTGTGTACACATTGCCTAATCCTTTTTTCGTTGAATTTGAACCTGAAACAAAATCATTGGTAAAATTAGATGCACAGTTCCAAAATTTGCAATTACTCTTGCGTAACCGTCCATATATGATATAAAAAGTTCCTTTGCATGTAGGTAATGCTAATTGCGGTTTGTATCGGCCATATTTGAATTTACGGCTTGTGCGCGTGCGCATGGCATTTTAATCGGTCTCCAGCTGCAGATATTATTCGCAAGCGACTTGTCGTAAAATCTTAGAGATATAAAACACCTCTGTATGTTCCGTATCCGAATAAATATGCATAGTAATATGTCAGTCCGTATTGTGTAAGCATTATTAGTAATATTATTCATTTATTTATCTTTATTTACAAAGGTAAGTTTCTTATAAGATATAATCATAGCCCCCGTTACCGTAAAACCGTTGCAATGGTTTGACTGCGGGGTCAACGAGTCTCTAGACATTACAATTAAATGTAGGTACTTGTAAATAAATATTAAAGGTGTTGTAAATTACACTTATATTAAACTTAAGATATAAATTGTTAAAACCTAAGACATAAATGGTTATTAAATTAAATGTCGATATGGACAGATAAATTTATACACATAGATGGGATGGATCTAGCTACGTGCCAGCGATACCAGTAATGGAGAATGATATTACACGGGTTTATTTTTAAGGTTTCTGCATTCTGTTTATATAAACTGTAATGTTGGCAAGTAACACGAAACGTGCGAGAAACATCTACATGCTCTGTATTTCCAGGAAGCTTCTAACTAAACAACACGCTAATACACCCATTTCAATTTGTTTTAACCTTCAAATGCTCGCAAATGTTCTGTCTGATACACGAGACAAACAATTTAAATCTTGGAATCGGCAGCAGTTGTGACTTGTGAGGCGAACGACGTGCACAAATATAATAAATCATGTGCCATTCAGTCTGTGTGTCGCGCGCAGAGATATTTGTAGCGCGATAACAGTTCAACGTAGGACAAGTCACACGCGACTTTTGTTTTTGTTGTTATCACTTCGTTTTTATACGTAACCCGTAGGTAGGTAATGAAGTGGGACCTCTTCTTCGAAAATACCGTTTCTTAGATCGTAACAACGCGGAACTATCGTATGTTTTATTGGCCATGACTTCCTCCCGCTAGTACTCCTGCTATACCTATTGATCTTGTCGCTATTATATGAGGACGTGTTCGGAAAATTAATAAATTCAACATGCGTACAAATTATTAATTCAATAGATGAATATCACACCGTAGTACCTTACATTAAAGTTCAGTTTACTTATTTCTGAACCAACGGAATAAAAATGCGACTCTAAGAATCTAGTAACTGCCCTTTTAGGGACCTTTTGGATTTCCTCTTTTTTACTGTTATAATTACTACGAAATAAATTATGATTGATGTATAAAAATATTGAAAAAATATTGTAAGTAGGTTGTTGGGATTGGGTTGGAATAGGGTAGATGCCTAATTTTCATTTTAATGTACGTCTGGTAGATTATTTTAAATCATTAGACACGTATTTTTTATTTGTTGTTTTATTTTACACGTTTATAGACACGTATGTTTTATTAGTTGACTGCCTCATTGGCCGAGTGGTCGCAAGTGCGACTGCCGGGCAAGGGGTCTCGGGTTCGATTCCCGAGTCGGGCAAAATATTAGATACTGGGTTTGTAAAAACCTCAGAAGTAGCACGGAGTCTGGATATGTGCCCGGTATATGGCAATAGGCTCACCCCCTATTAACTACATGGGACTAATAAAATAAATAGTGAAAAGTGGGTGTTACATAGCTGTTCGGGGATAAAAGGCGTGATGTTATATATAAATTATTTTTTATTTTCTTAGAGAAACGAATAAGTACTTACCTACTTTCGACGATATATTGATTTGAAATGTCGTGTACCGTCACTTAAGTACATTTTATACGTAGAAATGACGTTTTAGCCCCCACTCTTAAACTCGATTCGTTTTATCTAAGTATTGTTTTATTATACGATAAAATAAAAAAATACGTGTCTAACATTCTTCATTACCTAACTGACGGACTAATTACATGTTTAATTTTCATACCCTGTCATCATCCCAATTGGCCTTGCTCAGTGCTTCACTTGCCTTAAACTGCCCTAGCAGCTCAGATCTCAGAATTAAAAAAAAACAAACAAACCTTATAAAAAAACGAATGCGCATCTAGGCATATTCGACAACAAATTAGTTGGTACCTACGTTGAAAAAAAAATATTCTGCTTCTGACTTTCCAAAGGAAGTGCGATGTAGTCAACACTAAAAATAAAATAGAAGTTCGATGTTTTTAAAATATTTTATGATCGGAATTTTTCGTCATTATATTGTAGTATTATGACAACGTGCTCCTGCATGTTAAAGAATAAAGCTCCATAACGAGCCTACGAGCCACTTCCGGAGCCCCGAAAGGAAAGGAAATTCACTCGCGAATTTGCCATTCTGTGCACGATCGTGACATTGTCCCGAGTGCTCCACTGTTCCCATGCTATCTGGTTATTAATATCCATCAACACAACACACTTTACGCCTTTGTTTTGTATTGACAAAATAAATAATAATTAGCTTCCTAAACGTGGAAGGAAGAGAAGAATACTCGTGAAGAAAGAGTTTATTTATGTAGGCGCAGAAATGGAGCTACACGCCAAAAACATAGCACAATGTTTTTCTTAGAACGAAGCAGAATAGTGAATAACAATTTTTAAGAAGATTTGAAATGTTTGATGTTCGAACTTATAGATTCGTTCATTAAAAATAAATATCAGGGTATTTACGCAAAGTAAATAGAATTGTACGTCCGGAAAGATTCATACGAAGCAAACAGTACGTTGGCCTGTATGTAGCTCGGCTCTGGTAAATTCGACTCGCTTCGTCTAGTTGATGTTATATTTATGATAGATGTATAAAACAGATAGCGTGGAATCTGATGAAATCTATTTATTGACTGCGCAAACATCGTGTGAAAGGAAGCTTTTGGGCCATTTCCTGGCGCTGAGTGAAATGGGGCCGAGCGTGCCGTGACGCATGTTTTTACCTCTGCATCCGTTTATAATTATATCTTTTTTGTAATCGTATTTTTCTATGAATTCTATTAGCTCCCACCCTACTCAGTTACACATGAAAAACTAATAATGAAGTAGGTATATTCGCAATAACTTGATGTTCTCTACAAATGCTCAGGAAATAAGAAATAAACATTTGAAGACAAGATCTATTATCTATTAGGTCTTACCCGCTGCTTCGCTCGCGTCACAAAAAGATAAAAAGTAGCCTATGTGACATATACCAATACACACAGCGCCATCTATACTAATACTTTTGTTTTCCATCGGGAATATCAATTTATTCCGGGATAAAAAGTACCCTATTATTTAATCCGGACTTCTAACTTTACTTCTGCAAAAATTGAAAACAATCGGTTTAGTAGTTACGGCGTGAAAGCGGAACAAACAAACAAACTAACTTTCCGATTTATAATATTAGTAAGGATAAGGATATAGTTGGGTATACTGTAACCTTTTAGTGATCAACTAGGTTATTTACAATTAAAATCTGGGTAGGAAGGTACCGAAATAATAGTTCTTAATTAAGACCTTTCAAAACAAGGAAGCGATAAAATTTCACTATGTAGTGGCTAGGCTAGTGCTTGTTTGCGTTACTATGGTATATCTATACCTAAGTATTACTCCACAGGCAACTGAAGTTAGCACGAATGTTGCTTTGTTGCTTTAATTAGGTACTTACGTAGGTTATTTCCGCAGTTTGACTTCGTTATCAAGAAATCATAAAATCTCAGTCATCTTTTGTCCAAATGTTTGGAACTTTAGTGCTATCGAAGTATCGTTTATCATCCGTTTTGTAGTATGGTGACTTATCTATAAAAAAAACGACATTTGAGAGGGAGTTCAGAAAAACGCGAATTATTTCATTTCTACACGAACATAAATGTTTATACAGTTTTTTTTAAATAGGTTGTAATTTATGCACGTGTATTTAAAAAGAAAATTATGCACTTAATTGTGTTGCGTTCTATAGTGTTAGAATAAGTAAATGTCCTGTTAACAAATCGTGTCTGTCAGTTAGAAATCTCAAACAACAATAATGATTTTACCGTGATCACGATCTTTAACGTGACTCGACTTTATATAGCTTAAATTGTTGACGTTTCCATTGTAATGAAACTCCTGACGATAAAATCAATTATTAAAAGTTCAATCGATGCATTTAAAAAGTTTTTGTCGATTTGTATTTAGGTAGTTTAACGAGATGGAGTACCTACCTATGTAATAAAATAACAACCTAGCCTAGTTTATTTTCAGATAAATAATATGTAGAGTTTACATTAAAACTACCATTTTTTTCGACTAGAGCAAAATTTATTTAATTTTCTGCTAACATATACAATAAACCATAAACCTTAAAATTCCTATAACTATAAAATAAAATCGTAAATAATTGAC